ATGAAATGACATATTTAATAAATTCTAAAATCCTGTTCTATTTAATTGAAAAAATAAATAAATTACATAGTTTAACATGGGTGACTCTTGAAAACATTATAAGTAAAAGAAGCCAGCTACAAAAGACATATTGTACGACTCTATTTATATGAAATGTCCAGAATAGCACTTTATAATTCTAATCAAGCTAATAGTTTTGCATGAAATGACATATTTAATAAATTCTAAAATCCTGTTCTATTTAATTGAAAAAATAAATAAATTACATAGTTTAACATGGGTGACCCTTGAAAACATTATAAGTAAAAGAAGCCAGCTACAAAAGACATATTGTATGATTCTATTTATATGAAATGTCCAGAATAGCACTTTATAGAGCTAGAAAGTAAACTAGTGGTTGGTTGTTTAGGGCTGGGAGAAAGGAATTGTAGACTGAGGGACATCTATAAGAGACTGCGAGGGGATACAGGATTTGTTTTGGGGGAATGAAAATATTCTAAAATTAGATTGTGGTAAGGGTTGTGCCATCCTATAAATGTAGTTTAATTGAATTGAATACTTTTTATGGGTGAATTTTATGATATACGAATTTTTTCTCAAGCTATTTTTAAAATGCTTAAAGGTAATGATGTAGTTTCTGTTTTTTGAAGTATTGTCTTTCTTAGTCATGTACCTTAGGTTTCTTGAAAACAACATGAGAGCATTTCATATTTAAAGTTCAGCATTTTAAATATGCATATACTTCCTAACAAAGCTATCATCTGAGAGGGCTTTCTGATTGGTAATTATCAATGTGAATGCAGAGACATCTGAATGCAAGTATTAATATATTTTATAACTCTCACACACTGAGGGACTTTGTTAAGCTGGTAGTGTTCGTATTCGAAGCTAGGTCAAATATGATTAATTTGATGAGGGCAATAAAAATGAAACTTAACATTTAAAGAAAAATGTCCCCATACACAGGGTTGCTTTTTAAAATTAAGCCTGTTTTCATTCAATTCATTATTTTTTCTTTGCTTTTTAAGTTTATAAAAATGTGGCAAATCTTGAGATCATTACTAGTTTGTAATAGGAGAGCTCCATGTAAAAGCACCAGGTAGAAACACTACTATTTTGGTAATCTGGTTAGCCATTCTCTGGTCCCTACATAGAAAATGGTCACCATCGGTATTCTAAGCAGCCTTGATACATCAACCCTTAAATTATAAATGTCTTTATATTAAAATAGATGCTGTTTGCATGCACACTTATCTGTGTACTCAGACTCTCTCGCCCAGGTCAGAGCTCAGGTTGCTCAGGGCTGCCATTCTTCTGTTAGCCACACTTGAACTAAGTGCCCCTTTCTTTCTGATGAACCTGGACCCCATATATCATTTTCATACGATAGTACACTGTGAATCCAATCTGAAGCTCCTTTTAGAAATAGAACCAATAAAGTGAGTTTTACTTATGTATACATTGACTTGTATATTTACATATAATTTTTAACTTATTCCAAAAATCAAGACAGGCTGATTACATGCTTATTTACCGGCTTGGATATGTGCTTGTTTACCTTCTTTAGCCAATTACTAATTGAAAATTTGTCTTCCTATCAAATAGCAATTATATTTTAGACCTCTCTCTATGTATACTTATGTGGTTCTAACCTATATATCTTTATAAGTTTGGGGTTGCACTTGACACAGTCCCACCCATTATAGAGATCCAGAGAGAGGACGAAAGCATAACCCCTGCTCCATCTTAGAAATCAATCATACTGCAGAGCAGAAGCAAGGGAGTTCTTAGTAACTCTAGGAACAGGTTACACAGGAGGAATCACAGAGGAGAAGGCAACCCTTGTATGAGAGGAATCACAGGGGAAAAGTCATCCCTTGCATGAGAGAACCTTAGCTATAAGCTGAACCTACAAACAGAAGAATTTGGACAGGTGAAGAGATCAAAGGTTATCTAGAACCAACAGTGCTGAATGAGATCAGGATAGAAGAAAAAACAAAACAAAAATATTGTTTCTTTCAGGTACATTATGTTCAGTCATGATTCTTTTAGTAGGCAAAATATAGGCTTTAATGAAGGGCAAGTTTATTTTTATTTTCTGTTCTGATGCCTACCATTATAAAGTTATGAGTGGGAAGTCTTATTTTGAGATCCAAAGGGGAAACCCACCACATTTACCCTCCTTGTTTCCTATTAACGGTTTAGTTTGTAAATGGTCATACTGTGAGAGGGCAGGCTTCCTCCAATGAGTTCCTGTTCATAGCCGTAGGCCACCCTGTGTCTTTCTAGAGAAACTACACTACCCTTCCTGGTTGTGGTAATGTTTGCTGGGTACACCCTTCAAATTTATTTTATGTAGATCAATACAAATGATCTCTCCTTCACTTACTAGTTAAGGGAACTAGCTTATTGAAAAGCTGTTCTACTTATTGATGGGTTTCCATTAATCTGTATGAAAATGTGTTCCCATGAATTTTACATACTCTCCAAGCAATAAGAAGATTAGATAATTTTTTGTTTGTTTTAATCCTCACCCAAGGATATTTCTCCATTGACTTTTAGAGAGAGTGGAAGAGAGAGGGAAAAACAGAGAGAAACATCGATGTGAGAGAAATACATTGATTGGTTGCTTCCTACGCACACCCTGACCAGGGCCCAGGCTAGGGAGGAGCCTGCAACCAAGGTTTGTGCCTTGACCGGAATTGAACCCAGGACCCTTCAGTCCCCAGCTGATGCTCTATCCACTGAGCCAAACCATCTAGGGCAAGATTAGATCATTTATATATTGAGTGTTACATATAAGCATATACTGGATTATTTTATTTTCACAGTAGTCCAGTAGCCCTCTGAGGTAGAGATTACCACTGTTTTCCATTTTACAGATGAGAAAACCAAGGCATAGATATTGAGAGTGAAATTTTATTTCTCAAGTTTTTTGTTTTGTTTTCCCCCCACTATTTGGGAATGTTGATATTCAGGTGTGAAGTACGTGAAAGGCAGAGAACCATAGCAGAAGGCCAACATAGTTACTATAGGGTACATCGTGATCGGTGTTACCCTAAGGTCTGCTGACTAAATATCCAGCCAAGGATTGTAACAGGTCTGCGAAGGGAAGTTTCTGATATGTTGATCAGTTATTTTTCTGCTAAATAAATTCTTCAACTCCAGTTCCAATACATTAAACAAATAGTAACCAAATATAGTGAGGCATATATATATATAAAAATCTGGTAGTGAAGGTAGATAAAAGATATCCATGAGTAATATTGTCTGGTTATTTGAATTTCTTAGCCAAACAGATTTTTTAAAACAACTAAGCTGCTACCAAGAAGGTGACTGATTTAATTGCTCTTCCACTTTGGTAAAAATGCCAATTTTCATAGTCAATGGAAAGAAAATGGAGAAACAGAGGGCATGCTTGATATATATGCATGACTTACCCCTGAATAACTAGGAGATGACCATATGGAATTAGATGACTCTTTGGCTCCATAAAGTCCCTCAAAATATTGTTCTAAGGGTAAAATGAAATAACATGTCAAAGTACAGGACTTTGAGAACTGAAAACCATTGGACACATGCAAGTTATTAAAAAGAAGGTCCTTTCTTGACATTTGTATCCCTATTGTATTCTTTGCATTCTTTTTGTCCTCTCCCTCCCTCCGTCCCTCCTTTTCCCCTTCACCTCCACCTCCTTTCCTGTCCTCCCATTGATGAGGACACTGCTTGGAACAGTGGAGTTGGGCTAAATCAGCCATATTTCTCATTGTTTGCAGAGACGGTTATATTACAACTTTCCTTTCATTACTCCTTTTCCTCCTCCCTTTGTATCCTTGGAGGAATTTTAAAACAATCTCTGGGTTTTCTAATTTGTTTCACTCAAATTTGCTCTCCTTAACTTTGCAAGATAAATTCTTCATCCTGTTCTCCCCTTATTTCTCTTCTCTGAAACTTGGCGGCATTTTAAAAGGCAGATGTCAGTAGTGACCAGGGCAAGGGTCATTGTCTGGTTCTCTGCCTTTTGCATAGTAAATTCTCACAAAATGTGTTCATTAACTAGCTAGAAAAGAAACAGGTGAGTTATAGATTAATTTTTCTCCTTCATTATTTAAAAAAATAAAGTGTTGATGTGTCCTGAATTTGGAAACTTTATTCAAGTACACAGGATTATATGGCACCAACTGTTTGTCTTAAATACAGTATGGGGCAAAAGCAGGTTTACAGTTGTTCATATAAAAATGATACAGTAATCTATACTAATAAAAGGGTAATATGCTAATTAGACCGGGCATCTTCCAGACGTCCTTCTGGACAAAGCCACGATGGTGGGGGCCGAGGCAAGAGGCGATTAGGGACGATCAGGCCAGCAGGCAGAGGCGGTTAGGGGTGATCAGACAGGCAGGCAGGTGAATGGTTAGGAGCCAGCGGTCCCGGATTGCAAGAGGGATGTCCGACTGCCGGATATCCCCTGAGGGGTCCCAGATTGGAGAGGTTGCAGGCCGGGCTGAGGGACCGCCCCCCCATGCACAAATTTTGTGCACTGGGCCTCTAGTTAATAATAATACAGGAATAAAATAAGCTTGTTTCACATACTCACAACTGTAAACCTACTTTTGCTATTAAACCACCCCGTATTGCTGTTTCTCCTGCTAATACAACAGGCAGAATATAAAGCTGCTATGAGGCAAAGGAGAAGTGTTTATTTTGAAATATCAAAATTATTTTTACACTTTAGGCATTACATGAGTTTATCTCTGTTTTGTCACCTAAGAGAAATGGTGCATGTGAGGAAATAACTCTGAAGTGGAACCATCCAAAAGGAATATTAAATTCCTAAATGTCATCAGAGCACACCGCAGGTGACATTCACTTTGAGAGCCTACATGACTCGTCTGTGTTCAGCTGTGTTTATTTGCTTCCACTTGTGAGTGCTGATCTGAGGGAAACCATTCCCTGATATGTTAAGGTGATTAATGTTTTCTCCTTCCCTATTTTTAAAGGAAATGGCGAAAGTCCTTAATCACCCCCGTGTGTATGCTTTCCTGCACATACCGGTGCAGTCCGCCTCGGACGCCGTGCTCATGGCAATGAAGAGAGAATACTGCGTGGCTGACTTCAGGAGAGTGGTGGATTTTCTGAAAGAGAAGTAAGTTTCTTAGCACTTAAGAAAATGACCATTTCTTTTTTTTTTCTTTTAAAAGCATGTGGCAAAATGCACTTATTGTAGCCACAATTAAAGGCACCAGAGAAAAGGTGAGACTTTTGAAGCTTTCAGAGCCTTTGCATCCTTAGGCACCTTGATGTGGTTTTTTGCTTTCTCTCCACCTTCCATCTGTACATCATACAGCGTTAATTTGTGTAGGATTGCTAGTGCTTCCAAGGTAATGTGTATTGTGATCATTTTTATACCTGACCCACTAGAGGAAAACTGCTTTATGCTTTGCTCTACTTAAAATCTCCTTTCATGTGGCTTTTTGAATTTGCAGGCTGGTTTTGACATGGAGGTAGGCCACATCATGTCACTACACAATCAATAATTTTCTACTAAGTAGCATTTCTTGAAGAGTCTCTGGAACGCCTTTGCTTTTACATGCTAGCCCTGTGCTTTACTTGAAGAACTGTGAATTTATAAGGAGGTTTGGGGATTCAATTTTTTTAAAGTTCAAATTGTTGTTGACCAAAATTAAGGCATTTTACACAATCTCAGGCATGAATGATCATTTTGTTTCCACAAAAACACTTGCAGTCCATGATTATATTCTTCAAAACTCCTCCTCATCATCACCAACATTGAATGCCTTCTGTGATTGTACAAGGAGACAGCAGTGCCAGCCAAGGTCATAGAACTTTCTCAAGTGGAGGGCATTGTTCTCCCTCTGGGGATATGTCATTTATCTGGCATATTTGTGGCATGCATCTTCCTACTTTCCATAATTTTCTTCATATTTTTTTCTTCTGTTGTTTTTCTTAATTAAGACAACTTTTATTTCCATCTTCTTGTTTATAATTATGTACCTTTGTACCATGTATTTTATGGTTACGATGGTTTTATATAAATTGCAAGCAATTATTTTTTTCCATTGTCCATTAGTCACTTATCCTGACTACATACAGATCTTTTAAAATCTTTTGCTTCTGTTTTCTTTCTCCTTCCTTCCTCACCTTTCCTTTATGTGTCTGTCTAATATTTTCTCTTTCTCCTTCCTTCCTCACCTTTCCTTTATGTGTCTAATATTTTTAGCCTCAAATCATTTCTTGATTATTCTAACCACCTGAAATAAAGACACTTAGTGTGCATTCAGACAAATACAGCTAATTGTTTGAATATTCAAGCCAGTGAGTAGAAGGTATATATATTCTAGGATTCCAGAATAATGATCACTAAGTATATACAACCTCCAAAGTTAGAATATGGAAGAATGACTGATCTCTAGCACCTCTCATACTTTCTGATCTTGAACAGAACTGAGGTCAAGGCTAAAGAATAGGATTTTTATATTAGATCTGTCTGTTGTTGGCCGGTATCTCATTTTTACATTTATTCTTGCTTATTGTAAGTAAACTTGTCTCGTGTAAGAGTCCTTTTGGGCACAACAGCACCAGTGAATAGAATGTTTTTGAAATTGAAAAAAAAATCCTTGCACCTGTGACATTTCTTGCCTCTTGCTTACCAGAGCAGTAGTAAATAATGTGCACAATTCATACCTGTTGCACAAGGTTTTGCCAAGTGCAGACATGCATCTTGTTGTGCAGAATAGACTAGAACACTTTCCAAATGGTTTGTTGTATTCATATGATTCAGTGAGGTTAAGGAATCAGCACCTCTCTTTTACCTCCATTTGGGTGAGTGCTGACTCAGTTGTTTGGGGAACTACTGTGGCTACTTCACTGGGCAACAATTTCACAACAAGTTCTAGCCTTTTATGTTGCTCCAAAGATGGACCTGTTAAATTTGTTGCAGCTTGAACAGTTTCAATAGCATCCATGAGCTATATAGAGGTCAATGATGATCACGTCAAAGTATTAGAAAATAGTTTTATTCATGGGCTAAGCTTGTAGTCCTTTCTTTGGATTCCAAGTTACCCTGAGGCATACATGGAGCTTTTCTTGAACCATTTCAACTGGCTGGAAGATCCTAGAACCAAGTACTCCACTTAGGCATCTCCAGTGTTTCCAGCTCTAACGATCCCAGGAGAGGATATTGGAGATGCCTAGAGAAGACACCCATCCTACACCCATTGATCCACGGTTTCAGTTTCAAGTGCTGTGAATCACTGGAATTGTAGAGTATGGTCTAACCACTTAACATCCCCAAGAGGGCTTTTTTTTTTTCTTTCAACTCTGTATTATGTATGTGCAGTGAGGGCAGAAGCAATCATGGTATACAATTTCACACTTAGTTGTAATTTTATAATCTATAAGATGTATTGAAAGACTGTAGCATGCAGCCAATAAAATATATCTGATATAGAGAGCTGATGACAGAATAATTACTGGGACCCTTTGGGGAAAAAAAATAAGAAATCATATTATCACTACCAATATGCTAATCCTTGACTAGTTTTATACAGTTCATCAGCCATAAAACTGTATATTTAGTTCAGTCCACCCCTTGTTGCTTGTAACATACCCTCACTCCTGTGAGGACACTATCATCCAGCTTTGCTTGCTAGTGAAAGAGCTTCCCTGTCCTCTCAAGGAAGTGAACCCACCCAGGGAATAATTTTCAACTAGAATGGACATTTAGAAATAAATCGCATATTTTAAACAGACCTCTGGTCTGATATTCCACTTATTTCTTTCTGTAAGAATACTACAGCTTTATGCCAAACAGATTAGTGCTTATTGGAAACACCAGAGTTTCAGTGGTTCTATAGAACCACTAGTTGGGATAACAGCTCCAGCACAAAAATTGTTTTGTCCAGTTTATTGAAATTCAATACAGTATTGTCCTTCTTAGAAAAAGGGTCTAGCACTCACATGTCGCCCTGTTTTATGCTTAACACTGTGCCCTGCAGTGGGCCTGGCCTACAGCCAGGTGAGGGGTGCTCTCCCTCCTGTATAAATGGAGCTCAACCTCTTTCCTCCTCAGAAGTCTTTCAAGCCTTTTTTTGTGATAAGCCCTTATTTTTCCCAGCATTGTGAGGCTTCTTAAATATTCATGTTATGAATTAAGGACCAGGTATTTTCTAATCTGTTTCCTCAAAAAATCCAGTCTTAAAAAAAACTTGTAGCACTTAAGACTAAAATCCAAACTATGGGAGTTTCCCTGAAGCCGCGGGCTCATAAACGCTAATTCAGCAGCATGCCTGGTGCCATGTTTCTCAAACAGTGGAGGTGAAATCTTTTTAATTAATTTTCTTTATAGTTGAAATTGGCCCGAGTTATTACTGGGAGCAATATAAGTTTACATACGAGCCAACTTGAAGCTGATTCATTATTCCCTTCATTTGTTTGAAAGTTGGCAACTGTTATCATAACAGCAGCTGGATTGGAGATAACCTAGCAGAGCTGGCACATGTTGAGGCCTATGGGAGTTTATTAAATCGTGCAACCTTTGCAAAGAAAAGTGTCTAAATTACTTAATACACTAATTTAAGACAGCAGTCCAGAGCAGACAATCATATGACTTAAATTATTCTATTCAGATTCATTAATCCAGTCAGAAAATTAACTAAGAAATTTGCTGTTTTTACTTAAGTGGATAAGATGATTTCTGGAAATATGTAACGGGATTTGTAGGGATATGAAAAAAAAAAAACCTACCTAAAACAAAGCAAGAGGTGCAATTCTAGTTTTAGATTTATATGTTTTTATAATTTTTAATAAATACCTCAGAAATTTATTTTTTTAATTACCTGCCACTTAACTGCCTCTTCTTTGATCTTTTAAGCATATAACTGGAATAAAAAGAGTAAAAGCTTGAATTATTTTTATTTTCTTGTGTAATTTTGAAAGAGTTATTTCCCAGTGAGAGGAATTTTCACTTTGATATGATCAGGATGATGTAATTTGGGTTCCCAGGACCTTGGGACCTTGGACATAGACCATATTTGTCCACCTCGGTGGAGCAGTATTGTCTTTACACAATTACTCTCCAAAATAAACCATATATTCACATATGTTAAAAAATGACAACATGCAGAGTTCTCTCACTATACGTTCTAATGCTAAGTAAAAGATCTCCAAGTCTACAGATCCACACAGGACTGTGGGAAAGCAGTATGTAAGAATGACAAGAAATGAAGCAGTTTATCTATTCGGACCTAACTGTTTACACAGATCGTTTTGTTGGAAGTCCAGTGTGGCCTTTTGGTCTGTGTTAACTAGACCTTAAACTTGGGAGACCAGATCCATCTCCCTTACTCAGTAACTACACTGTGAATTCATGGGCACTATGTTTTTACCTGCAAGTAGCATAGAGGGAAAGTTACACCTTACTGTAGCATCTGTGTGTTGACTTCTAATTCCATGACATTGTCCAGCTCAGGATTTGCCAATATCATTGATGTACAATCTACAGTGGATAGAATATTAACCCTTTTAGCATCACGGCGTCTATTCGCACACCCTTGAGTTTATTGTACCCAGAGATTTCCTAGTGAAGTGCAACAACCAATAACTAACGAGCACGAGCACTGAGGGTAAAGGGGGATCTTTTCCTGGGGAGAACTAGAGGGAAGTAGCAGCTCTGTGGAGAAAGGTTTGTTCTCTGACCTTTCCACTGTGTACTCAGACGGTGAAGAGGCCCAAGGGCACGGGGCTAGGTCACTTGGCAGGATGACTTCTGTAAGTGAGTCACTGACTTAGCTCATGTTGTCCAGCCTATCTTATGACATACTTTCCCAGTCTATCTGCAGAAAAGGACGCTAAATCATTAACATCCTGAGTTATTTTTCTTCCTTTCATTAGTCCCCATCATCCATGTGTCCTGGAACACAATCTGATAAAAGACAAGTTATGTTCAAGTTGTATTTTATTCTGTTTTTTCTTCTATCTTGTTTTAGTCCTAGTGTCTTGGAGACACAAGTAGCAATATTTGTGAAGACAGAAGAAAAAAATTGAAATTTAAAAAGAATGATTGAGCAAGGATTAGATAATTAAGGTTTCTTTCAGATGCATTCCCAGATGTGTTTTTGTTCACCA